AACATTCAATGGCATAGCTAGAAATTCATATAAGAGAGGTAAATTTTAAAGTCACTGGTCAATATACAACTGTAGATTTTTAGTTTAAATTAATATGTGATCCACATGCCACATGAGTGTTTTAATAATAAAAAATATAAAAAACTTAATTACTTTTAAATATGTTATTATTAATTATTTAACATTACTCAATATCTACTAGTCAATGTATAATCAAATAATTATATCAATTTAAGTATATTATCAACTATTTGTCATTTACTTTTCGATATTCGCTATTCACCATCCATTATTCATTAACTATAATTTATTATCTATTATTTACTATCTCCTTTCAATTATTTATTAAATTTTAACTATTATACGAAATAAGTCAAAATATTAATTATTTTATCAATTATTAATTAATAATTATAATTAATAATTATTTTTATCGATTAAATTTAACAAAATTAATAATTATAACATCATTATTGGTGGTTATAACACCATTATTAGTGGTTATAACACCATTATTAGTGGTCATAATTGCGCTCTTGCGGTAATTCATTTCTAGGCCCACTGAAACTCTTTTCCAGCCAACCAAATGGTAGTGGTTGTGGAAGTCGTTGAGCTTCTTAATTATCCTCGAACCAAACCGACTAGTTGAGGTAGAGGGTAATTCATTTCTAGGCCCACTAAAACTCTTTTCCAGCCAACCAAATGGTAGTGGTTGTGGAAGTCGTTGAGCTTCTTAATTATCCTCGAACCAAACCGACTAGTTGAGGTAGAGGATGAAAAGTTGTATCATGTGAGTAGAGTTTTCTCCAAGTTTTTATTCAAAATCATGGTGATTATTGGTGCTTGTTTTAGTTAACAAAATTGTACTGTATAACTCATCAAATTATATTAAATTACATAATATTTATAATTAGATAGGTAGATTTTTTAATATTAAAAAATAATTTTAAATTTAATTATTTTTATTTTACAATATAATATATTTTAAAATACAAAATAAAAATTTTTTTAGCTAAAACTTTTTGTTAGTTAAAAAATATAACATTTCATTTTATTAATAACAAAAACTTATTATCAAAAAAAAAAACTTATAACTTGACCAATCTAATAATAATTTTTTTTAATAGAATAATAAATTTTAAATTTAAGTCACGTAACTTATATATATAGTGAATTAAGGGTATTTTTTATTTGAAGGGAAATTCAAATAACATAAAGATCTACCTAAACTCATAGGTAATATTAAAAAAACCTACAAATTAAGGGCTAAATAGGCGATTAAGCCTAGTTTAAATACCCTCACCTTTAACTTTATTTTTTCTTGATTCTCGAAAAACGTGTTGACATTTCCACAACAGGCATCTTAAAGCTTAGTTGAAAGTTCTGTGTTTTTCAATTTGATATTATGGGTAATAAACCAACTTTAAGAACCCAACCCTGTTTTTTGCTAAAGTCTTGTTACGTTCCCTTCTTTCCAAATGACAAAAAATATCAACTGCCACTGGAGCATAAATTTCAAAATATCCATTTATGTTAGATTGTGACCTCTTGGGTCAAACTTTATTTTCTCTTGATAAAGGTTAAAAACGCGTTTTTTTTTTTTTTTTGGCTAGTCTAGGTAAAATTCGTGTTTGATATTTCCACAAAAGTCGTCTAAAGTTTGGTTAAGAGTTGTATTTTTTATTTTGATACAATGGATACGGCAAAATTGGACAAAAATGCTTCACCACATAATTAGCATTTAGTTGAAAATTATTCATGATAAAGTGTAGGACTACTACTCAAGAAAATCAATATCCTTAAATACACCAACCTTAAGGTGCTTAAAAGACACATGTTCACCTATTGGTAATAGGCTTGTGATAGGTTTAATATGCTCCCTTATATGGATATCCAATATGATTTTTAGATTTTGTTACAAAAACTAACAATGGGCTGGACAAAAACATATCTATACTTCAATGCCATGTTAAAAATAAACATGTAAACTTTAATATAGAACTAATTACATCCAACTTAAAATTAATTAAATAAGAATAGATAATAATCTACTTTTATTTAAATCATATATGTTTCTTTACATATGTTATCTACGGAATCTACCCATATCATTATAATGGTTTTTTACTGACTTTTAATTGGGCCCCGTTAAGTTTTTTTTTTCCCCCCCAAATTACTAAATATCTCAACTGCTCCTGAATTATAAGTTCCAAAAAAATCACATTTATGTGATCAGATTGTGCCTCTTCTTCAAAAGCAAAGTTTCTCTAGTATGTATGAACAATACGGCGTAATGTCTAAAGAAGATGAGATATCAAGTGTCAACAAATATCTTTAGGGATTTTTTAACCTCATTAATTATAAATATTGTGATTAATGAAACTTAAAGCATAAGTTAGAGAAACTCATATCTCTAAATCAAAACAAAAAGCTTGGCTGACTTAGCTAGCAAAGAAGCGTGAGTAAAAAAAAAAAAATTCAAGGGACCAATTAATCAAAAATTTCTTATAGGGGTAAACTAATAAAAAAAACTCATTAAATTTTAAGGGATTATAAAATGTATAGGGGGTATGGGCGCGTAGCCCTAGGCACTAGCCTTATAAATGAATAAATTAAAAACTTTGGTATGAGATCAAAATTAAAAAATATCAAATGTTTACTATAACTTAAAAATAAATAAACAAATAAATAAAAAGAGAAAAGAAAGAAGCTTCTCCCATATAAGCACCTGCGTAGCCTGACAGCAGCTAGATCCAGCAGTAACTGGTCATTCTGTTAACAAAAACAGGCAAAGATAAATCAAACTAACCTAGAGTCATTTTGATTAATAGAAGCAGTTGGACCTTCTAAAATTTTATTTTTTTGTCTTGGTGGTACTCTTACCATTACAGATTTGGAAATGGAGCATCTATTTTCACTACATCAAGTGTAGCTGCAAGGAAATTCCCAGACCGAGAATGAGGTTGGCCAGGTGATGCAGCATCTCCCTACATTTATCTCCAGTTTACTTACAGCACCCAGTGTATTGCCTGCTAGTTGCCTACCGCTGAAAATTTATATTAGTTTGGTATCAATGTAGGGAACTCGATCCCATTGCCCTTCTCTTCTTCTTTCACCAACTCAACGCCATCGTTTGCGGGTGATCTCAATTTTGATTGTGTATATACTTACATCGATCTCCTTCATCGAGCTGCCATTTCATTCACTTTTACATAAAGGAACTAATCAAATTAAGAGAGTAACTCAGCAATGGAAAGATAGCACCTTTTCTTCTGAAATGCTAGCTAGGTTCATAAAAGGAAATAATCATCCCACAAAGGCGGATTAGCTTCTCCCCAATTCCCCCTTTTTTTTTTGGGGGGGGGGGGGGGGGGTATGTTTCTACTATAGTCTACAAAAATGAATATATTATTTATTATAAGAAATGTTTTTTCAATTCTGTCTTGCATTTAAAAACATTAACATGACATTCAAAAAGATAAAAAAATCCTTGGAGCTTGTTTGGTTTGAGGGAATATGAGATATTATCCCCTCTTCCCTTCCTTTTGTTTCATTTCCTCCATTTAAATATATGGTAAAATGCAAAGGAAATTAACGCAAAATAAGAGGGTGCCCTCTTCCTCAATTTTTTTATTCAAATTAAAAAATTTCTTCCTCCCTTTAGAGTTATAAATGAGTTAAATTAAGTTTTTTTAATTAGAAAATAAATTTCATGTTATAGTAAAGAGTCAAATTGAGTTGAATTTAAATTTATATCAAATTTAAATATACCAAACTTGAAGTTAACTTGTAAACTCAAACTTGACTTAAGAACTCAATTAATTATTTAAAAAAAAAAACCATTCCCATTTATTGTACTGTATTTGCCCATACGGCAGCCAAGTTTTTTTTTAAATATGAAAAATTTTGAGGGAAAGAAATAAATTTATAAATAATTAATAGAAATAGAACTCTCGATCACATAAACTTAAGTTCGTTTATGTTCTTAAACTTGGTAGGATAGATTACCAATTCATGGTGATTTGAAATGAAAGCAAACTACATCTTGATTGGGAATGAGTGGGCTTTTAATACAACCTAGAAAATATGATATAGTTAGATAAGTACAGCACAATTAACCCCATATTAAGAGAATAATTAAATATTTATATACTTGGCCATGTTTAAATTAGAATGTAAGGGAACAAATGACCTGATATGCATGTAGATATCAATACTTTATATTTTAGAGTATTGTAATAAATTACGGATTATAGGCTAGTAAATCGAGACATACACTACTTATATTTACAAGAACGCATAATACTTAATTTTGTTTTAATTTCTCTAGCCGCGGCTAGAGGCGAAGATACCCTCAGCGCTGCGGGAAATCTTCTATGGAATGCAATCCATATTTCAGAACTTATATATAGCATACACCTAGTTCCATAAAACAAATGAAAATGCATACATATAATTCAAAGATTTAAGATTAGTTCCACCAAGGATTTGAAATCTTGGGCGGCACTCCCATTTGGTCCTGCAGCCTTCAAAACTAGCTTGTTCAATTCTTGGAGCTTCTCCCTCATTTTCTTCCCCTCTTCATCTCCCAAAACCAGCTTCAAGCTCTTCACAACACCACTCTTCGTCAACACCAGCCCCTCAATTCTCACACCAATGCCCCAAACTTCCTCCACCAGACGTCCGTTCAGCGCGTGATCTCCGAAGAATGGCCGGCAGATCATCGGTACTTCATTTGCGATGCTTTCAAACACCGAATTTGCTCCGCTGTGCGTTATAAACACCCCTGTCGAAGGATGCCCCAGGACCTGTGTCTGCGGTGCCCACGAAACAAATTTTCCATACGAGCTAACATTTTCGAGAAACCCAGTTGGCAGAAATTGCCTGCTATTCTCGTCAAGCACCCAAAGGAATGGAATTTGAGATTCCTCCACTGCCGCTGCTAATTCCATTATCTCGGACGAGGGTAATTTTGCAACAGTCCCAAACGCAATATACACCACAGACTTTGGATTCCGAGTGTCTAACCAGGATAAACATCCGGTTTCATCCGTACTCGACGGTGGCAACGGCGGGGGTGGCAATTCCAGGGTTAAAAACCCCACGTTGAGTAAATTCGGAAACAGGGAGTAGAGATCATTTAGGAGTGGAACAGGGTAAAGCTCTTGGAAAAACTTCATGACAACTGCAGTTGCCTTAGGCAAAATGTTTCTAGTTTTACTTAGCGTCCAAGAAAGGAGTGATTCTTTTGATGAATCTGTGGACAGAATTCCTTGGGGTAAATCCATGACCTGAAACAGAGACAACCCTGGAACAAAATCCAGTCTTTGATGTTTCATTGTCTCATCGTTTCCATGACTACGGCTGGAATTCGGGAAGCGTTGGCGGATTAGATCGGTGTAGACATGGGCTGAGAGGTCGTAAGGCGTGGCGCCATTGAGTGAGATCCAAGGAACCTGCAGCTCTGCAGCCATTTCATCCGCAAACGGAGCCAAGAACGCGTCCGTTAGCAGGCAGCTAAATCCTCTTCCAGTTTCCGAAGCGGCGCTGTCCATAGCTTTCTTGAAGCTTACAGGAGCTGCCTTCAGGAATAGCTCCACCGCCTCCGGTGAGCTTTCCTTTACAACATGATTTAGTGGAATACCATCGTCCACGTTGAAGGGTCTAATGCTGCCGGTTTTAATGCTGGATTTTCGAACTGGAAATAGACGGGCATTGGATTTTGCTGTGCTGAAGAAAGAAAATTGAATATTCGGAGCCGCAGAAGCTAATCGGCGAGTGAGGTTTATCATGGTCAAACCGTGGCCACCATAGGGGAAAGCCAAGACGGCAACGTGTTGCCCTTGTGAGACCTCTGTTACCGACATATTTACGGCACTGCTGACCCGAAGAAGAAAGGTTCTACTGATTTTAAGTAATTTGCCACCGGTAGGTCGAAGAGAGAAATGGACAGATAGATACAAATAGGGGGAGTCGCTATGTTACAAACACAACATCACCTCACCCATTTATAGTAGTATCAACATCGGTGACAAAAGCAATCTCGATCACATATCCTTTGAAAGCCTCAAGTATCTTTTGAAAACATTAAATGGAAGACGTGGTTGTTTCTTCAACGTGCAGAACATTTGATTTTATTTATTGTTTTTAAACTAGCTCAACATTTATGTTAAACCTGTCTGGTGTTTCTTTTTTTTTTTTTTTTTTTAAAGGCAAAAAAAAAATATTTTTTTTTAATTTATAGATGGCAAGGAATACTCCTACCCTTAACTTATATAATAGTAATTCTTTATAGATTGGTTACACATACAGCATTTCAAACCATAAATCCTATAACAATTTAGATCCCATGATACCTTTCCTCAAACAAGCATCGGGACTACAAATATCCAATCTGAAAGGAGGGTTCCTCAAAACCCTCCAAAATTAGATGAAAGGAGAGAAATGGAAAAAGAGAGCAGATGAGATGAGAGGGAGATATGAGTAGTTTCCTTTCCCTCAAATTATCTCTCAATATAACTAATTTGAATGTAATTTCAGGTAATTTTTTTTATAGTACACATAATCTGTCATGCAAAGAGTTAATAATTGTAATTATTATATATATTGATTAGAGTATATAAATATAATGTTTTCAACCATTAATTATTTGTTATATAAAGCTTAAAAACATTAATTTTTCTTCAACTGCAATTAAAAGACTCGTATAAAGTTTGAGAAACTGTGAAAAAGATGCAGCTCAAATCTATTTTTAATTGGAACTTATGAGATGTTATAATGGGCCTGTGTTATTTGCGGCTCAAGGAGATAAAATGGTTGGGTTTTAAGGTATTAATTTTGAATATTTTTGAGAATTTTAGTAATGTCAATTTTATAATAATAATAATTATTATTATTATTATTTATTATTACTATTAATTTAAGATATGAATGATAATTAAAAATATTTTTTTATAAAATGAAACTATCAAAGAAAAATTACATTAAAATTAAAAAAACTAATTGTCATTTATAGTATGTAAAAATATTATTTAAACTTACTGTGAAAGTTACTTACAATAGAATGGTAATATATGAACAATCTTTTTATATAAATTTTATATGTTATTAAATAAGTGAATGTATTTAATATTACAAGTCCAAACTGAATAAAAATAATCAATCATTTTAATTATATGTATAATTATATAAAAAAAATAATACAAAAGGATTATTCATAAATCATTTTTCTTTATAATAACATATAATATGAGAAAGATGGAGGATATAATAATGGAGAT